ACAAAAATACAGTGTGTCAAATAAATTTTAGAAATGCCCAGGATACACCCAGTCTTCCATTTACAAATTTACGTGCAGGTTAGCATGTGAAAAGTCTAGGTACCCCCCACTCTCCCTCCCCCCTGCTTCAGAGACCGGAGACAATAGGCAAGGCCAGAGGAGTGGACTTAGAAATGGGATCCATGTGTAAGGGACAGGCACCGCCCCGTCCTGAAGAAAGTGTGGAAAGAACTTGGGGACATACCACATTTGGAGAGGGACAATATTGACTCAAGCAGAACATTTTGCTTTTTCTTTCTTTTACCAAACACCCCTCTTTGTTCTTATCAAGCTTGGGGAAAGGCAGCAGAGCAGTGGCAGAGTGGGAAGGGCTGAGCATTGGCGTTTAGGGTCTGAAAGTGCTCAGTGGTCTGCGTTCTGAGATGGTGGTTCACGTGGTGCCCTCAGAAGCCATTGTGAGTCTTATCTGCCCAGGCCCAGGGGGTGGCAGTAGGGAATTCGGCAATAGGCAAGGACAAAAACTCACTGCCTATGGCTGGACAATGGTGAATTTCTAAGTACATTTTTACTCTCCTCTTGGTCTTGAATAGGCTTTCTGTCTCACAGTGATGAGCCACTATTCCTCAGTTGTGCTTTTGCTTTTTGTGAGCTGTTATCCATTGTCCATATTTTCCTTTTGTTTTAAGAGGGTAGTTCCCAAGACCGTTTTAGGAGTGGACATGGCTGCATATGCCATAAGCCCAGCCAACAGTGTAGTTTTGAGTCAGCCTCTTCCTTCTCCTGTACACTTCCCTATTCCTCACACTGGGGCACATTTGGGCTTCAGGAGGTTGGAGGACATCATTGCCCTGCAGGTATAATTCCTTAGAGAACAAAAGAATTTTGAAACTCTCTCCCCACTAACTACCCCCCACACATACATGTGGGCAACTGAAAGGGAAATAATTCCAATTGCTGAATTTTAAGAGAAAAACTGTTCTACTAGTCAGTTGAATCACAGATCCCTGAAATCTTAGGAATGGCATTTGTTCCAAAAGGAAGATGAAGCAGTGGTATCAAGGAGAGTGGCTCTGATGAGAAGGTATTCGTTTTGTAGATATTTGTGGTTATGATTGCGCCTTGGTGTGTATGTTTTCTGCTTTTCTGAAGCACCTCACACCCCTTTCTGGAAAGAAGTACATCTGTAACTCATAAGTCCCACATCATATCTCCAACATGGTGCCCACCATTATTTGCCTGGACACCTCACTCATCAGTGTGGAAGGGCAGAAAGATCTGGCACAAGAAAGATGAACTTGAATCCTAGGTCTTCTAACAGGAGGGTGACCTTCCTTCACCCTCTAGTCCCTCATCTTCAAAGCAGGAATCCTTGGAGGATTAACCATAATAACTACCATTTGTCACACATTTACATTACTACCACTGCTGCTAAGCAATTTCCATAAATTTCCTCATTTTTCTCCCAATATCCAGTGAGATCTTTTACCTCTGGACTGGGAAGGGCTTTCCAAGCACAGAGCTGTCAACGACACTTCAAAGAAAGCAAGCTATTGACTTAACTACATTAATACTTGGATTTAAAGTCAAAAGGACTAATATGCTTAATATAAAAATTTCAAAACTTCAGATCTTTATAGAAAAATAAACAATGCTAGAAGTAATTCAAAGAAAAGCAAGTAAAGTAACTAAAAAAATCTAAATATTTAATATCACTGGTAATCAAGGAAATTAACATAATTTTGCCTATCAAATTAAAAACAATATTTTCTTTTGCAGTGAAAATACTCAGCGTTAGCTAGGATATAGTGAAAGCCACACCCTTTTATGTTGTTGGTGGGCATGTAAATTGGAACAGCTTTTCTCTAGAGTAATGTGACAAAATGTGTCAAGAGCCTCGATAAATGGTCACACTCAGTTGATCTAGTAATTCCACTTCCAGGAACTTATCCTGAGGAGATAATCAGACACGTGGTCAGGGATTTATGTAAAAATGCTAACTTCTGTATTATTTTTCATTGATTACAACCCAAATGACTGATAAAAGAAGGTAACTCCATAGGACGGAATGATATACAACCATTAAAAATTTTGTTTTAAAGAATATTAAATGATATGAAGGAAATTTTCAAAATGAACGAACAATATTATCTCAATTTTATAAAAAGAAAAAAAAATACATAAGCTAAAAAGAACTATGCCCCCAAACCCAAAATGTTAGCAGTGATCTGTGTCTAAGTGGTGGGATTGTGGGTGATGTATATATTATTTACACTTTTCTTGATTTGTTCAGTGGGATCCAGAGAAAGAGAGAAGGGCAGTGTGCAGGATTGCATATTATAAAACAGCGCTCTTCAAGCTGGTCATGAAATAGCTAAGTAGAGAGAATTGGAATTAACGTCAACAGAAATAGTTTTAAGGCCTTCTCCGGGATTGATAGGTCTAGTGTACCAAGTAAATCAGGAAAGATAGACATGGAATCAAGGGTGCATGCACACATTCACACCTGGGATAGGTTTTTTCTTCAAATAAAACCTCTGCCAGGCTAATGTTGGACACCAGCATATTGTCGAACATTAGTCATTAACATTCATATTACCTGCTGATCCTATTTTTTCACTCCACAGTTTTCTGACTATAGAGATTATTGGGTGAAAATCTCTTTTGTATTTTAGGTGAATTAAGAAATAGGTTCACTAACTACACGAAGTCTGCACGGCAGATACTGGGATTTTGAAGTGAACTTGTAAAGATGTCAGATGATACCGAATGCTTCTGTTTGGGCAGAACCATCACAAGTACCAGCCTGCATATTTGGGAGGGTGGGATGCTTTAATTAAGGTTTCCAGCAGCGCAGCTGTAAGACATTAGTCAAACTAAACCCCTCCTTGCTCCCCTTTCCAACCTTACAGTTACTTTGTTACTTTTTCAGGGCTGTACCTGCCCAGCAGACCGTATATCAACATGGCCTCTGTAACTATGTAAAGGGGCCTTCTACTCTGTGGCCTGCACACAGACATGCACGCACACACACGCGCGTGCACGCTGTAGCTCTTCAGTATGACACAGCTCCCTTGGTACATGCCAAAGTGGAGGGCTATCCAAATAAATAGATACAATCAATAAGTGTAAGAGTGGAAAGAACGCTATGGTTTCCAAGAATTAAAAAATGTTAGGGAAAAGGAGAGCAGAGATGTGCTGTCCTTGAACTAAAAGTTCACAAACCAATTAAAACTAAGTATCTGCTGGGACGCCTGGGTGACTCAGTTGGTTAAGCATCTTCTTTCAGCTCAGGTCATGGTCCCAGGGTCCTGGGATCGAGCCCCACGTTGGGCTCTCTGCTCAGCGGGGAGTCTGCTTCTCCCTCTCCCTCTGCTCTTCTACCTGCTTGTGTTCACTCTCCCTCTCTCTCTCTCTCTTTTTCAAATAAATAAATAATATTTTAAAAAATAAATATCCGCTGGTGGAGCCTGGGGTGTGTATTTTACACTTGACCTTAGCCAAAAGACCAAGCCGCTGTGGGAGTGTGTATTTTAAATTCTGATGCAAACTGTGGAAGCCGGCAGCTGAGAACCACTCTCTCAGCCGCACTGTGCGGTCATGTATTTTATTCTGCTCTGTCCAATATGGTATCCCACCAGCCCCCGAGGGCTGCGGACCTCATGTCATGCAGCTAGTGTGACTGAGGAGTTGAACTTTAATTAATTAATTTTTAATCTAAATGTAAATAGCCACATGTGATTAATAACCACCACATTAGAGCAGCCTTAACCTATCGTGCACTGCCTTCACTTGGGCTGGAAAGAGGCCGCTCTTGAGCCCACCCTTCCGAAGGGTTGTGTGCTTGGCCGCTGACACTGGGCTGCTCAGAGGATGGCTCTGAGCTTCGCATGTAACTTCTGGGTACTGTAACCACAGCTGTGGCTCCGGAACCTCCCGCGGAGGGAGTCAAGGGCCATCCTAGCCACGCTCAGTCGCGGGCTCTGCGTTGGGTAAGGTAACATGCTTATCGTCTTCAGCTCAGAACATCCGACAGTGCTTCTCCCGCCCTCCATCATCCCGCAGAACAGAAAACCAAGCTCTCGCTCTCACCCTAGGATTTCTAACTCATTATGTTTGTTTTTGTAGTTGTTTTATTTTTAACTAAGGAAACCATTTCTAATCTTCTCCCCTGTTGTTTAAAGGGTATAAAAGTTCAGCATGGTGAGTTTTTATGGGACTTTTATGGGAAGCCAAGTGTTGTAAACATATCCAAATTATCACAGTAGTGTAGTTTCCCACATCCTTTTGCTCTGCACACCGACCTGACTTCCCTTCGAAATATGAAACAGATGCGCCCAATTAGAATTCTCCAGCTATTCCAGGCCCTGTGTTAGGGTGTGAACCCGGTGAGATCAGGATAACTCTTGAACAGACCGCCAAGACTATAAGCTAGGTGCAGGCAGGGGCTGCGGTCCTCCAGCCTGGGCTGGGTTCCACATCGTAATGTGACACCTGCCATCTCCTCGAGGCCCGGTGCGTGTTGGCTGAATGAATTCATATTCTTGCGATGGAGAAAGTGGGCTGAAGGGACGATATACAGAAGAGAGAAGACAAGACCCAGGGAAAGGCCACATTTGGCATAAAGGTGATTTGATTTCGGGCAAAGTACTTGTCCTCCACGACTTTCCTCTTACCTGCTGTCATGTCTAGCAGGTAGGAAGAAGAAAGTTTGCAGCACCCCATAATCTAGTTCTCTTCCGGTGACGACCATTTAGTACCACCATGATGATTTCCCAGACCGTGATCATGAAAGGCTCTGAAGGACTAAATTGCTTCCGGAGGTGAAGCCAGGAAAAACTGGGTGTGTTTCAGGCCTTGGTAATCACGTGCTCCTGTGCCGTGGACTCTGGGTTTGGTGTTTCCTCTGAGGTTGCAGTTCTGAGAAACTTAGTAGTTGGACAGGCTGTGGTTGTGATGTATCTGCCCGCTTATCAGCACTTTTTATTTTCCTGAAATTTTAGGCACAGAAAAATGAGAGAGAATCTATCCGACAGAAGTTGGCACTGGGAAGTTTCTTTGATGATGGCCCAGGAATTTATACCAGCTGTAGCAAAAGTGGGAAGCCAAGCCTTTCCTCTCGGTGAGTGTTCTTTTGAGTTGATTTTCTGATACGTCCCTAATGGATTTTGCATTCCGACCATACGTTTAATAAAAGATATCTTTTAAACCCTTGAGTGTTTTCCCCCCGTAGTACTACACCTTTATTTGGATTCTAGACAGCCCCCTTCCCACTTGTTGGGTTTGCTTTTTGCTTTTTAGTTTTCACCCAGCCACTTGAGGTCATATTTCTATATTTCAGTTTTTTTCCCCTAAGCACAATTCTGATTTTGCACTGTGATGGGAGAATCAAGCCACACTCTTAATCAAGCCAGCTGATGCTTAGAGAAGTGGGCAAACCACCAGAATTCCCATTAAGCAGTCCCAAAGCATCCAGCATCCCCCCGAACCCCCGACACATTTGATTGAAATGAATACTGGTAACTGAGAAATACAATTCCCACTTTGATCATTCCATGTTTATTACAGTACTTAACCTGTCCTTCAGGCATTTTTCCTTTATCTTAATTTATTTCAGATTATCATTGCTCATTTATTGTAATTTATTTCAGGAGACCACTGATCATTTGCATAGCTTTTAATTCCAATTAAAACATATTATCATTTTACCTAGAAAACAAGGCTATAGACTAGAGATTCCCAAACTTTAATATGCATGTGAATCACTCCCTATATAAAATACGCCTATATTTACCATGTTAAGCCAGGGGTGGGAGACGCATGATAACATTCATGCATTTATTCAGCCAACAGATCTCCACTCTCTCCTTCCTGTGATGCTCAGAATTAGACACTTTAGTGTCTATTTAAATCTATTCTATCTGGCTTTCAGTAAGCCTTGTATTTCAGTCTCTTCCTTAGAGACTCCTCTGAATCAGCGAAAGTCAGAAAGCACACACACGCTCTCATATATGCACTTACAGGGGTCACCGCTGTGGCTTCATACGTGGGGACAGAAGTGGCGGAATCCTGGCGTCTCCTGCTCGGCCGGGTGCCAGCTGTGTCTCCTAGGATTCCCTCACTTTTCTCACGTGTCATTCCAGAGCTGGAAGGCCAGCCTTCCTTTTGAAGGAAAGCATCTCCTTCCCTTCCCAGTAGGGTGTGGCAGGGGGAGCTCTGGGGACCAGCAGACTGGGGATTAGCCCTAATCAGTTTCTGATTTTGAGACTTTAACAGTTTCGTTGTACCATGCCTCAGTCTTTGGAAGATGAGGGTATTTGACCACATAGATCTCTACTGCTTTTCTCTAACATTCCCCAAGGCACCAAAAGGTCTTCTAGAAGCCCCATCACTCTGCTCAGCTAAGTCACATTCATCTGGCCCAAATGGGAGGTTTTGTTTTTAAAATCAAAGTCATACACACACACACACACACACACACACACACACACACACACGTAAGACTCTGAAAATAGCATTAACAATAACTGTAAGATGTATAATAACAACACAAAATACAAGTTACAGTCTCCTGTCCCATCTGTCTCTATCTTGTCCCACTCTCCAGAAACGATAACTCTCAACTCCTTCACTGTTTCTTCTGGTAATTCACCTACACATCTCTAAGTAGAATGCTTATTCTCTTAGTCTTTACATAACCATTTACGGACTGCCAACTATAAAAAACGGCGAGTCACATCTTTTACAGACATGTCACTGTAACTCCCCATATTCTCCCTTTATAATTATTTCATAATTTGTTGTCAAATAATGGCCAATTGTTTACATTATTAAGATCGTCAGTTCTTTACACTGAACCATGTAGTAAACGGATTACTTGAGAAACATCATTGTTTGTCCTGCAATGAAGACCGCCCCATTTTTCCCATTGCCGGGGCACGGTTTTGGCTGCTGTATTACCTTCCACTCTGTGAGTGTATCACACTTCATTCAGCCCCTCTTCGGACTGTAGGCACTGAGTCGTTTCAGAGTTGTTTTGCTCTTGTAAGCGGTGCTGCTCATAAACACTCTTGACCATGTCTCCTGCTGTCCGTGTGCAAGTGCTTCTCTTTGGTGCACATCTAGGAACAGAACTACTAGAAAAGTATGTGAATGTTCACATCCGGGGGATAATGCCGGACATGTTACCCTGCTACCAGCAATGTTGCCGAAATCCTGTGGATCCGTAGTCTTTCTCACGTGATACTGCCAACCCCTTTTACATTTTTGTTTAAACAGGTATTAAATAGTATTTCATTGTGTTTATTAGCCATCTTTGCTTCCCCTTCTGCGAAATGTCAGTTTCGGTCTTAGGTCCAAATTTCTATCCGATTCTTTGTGCTTTTTAAAATTGTTTTATCAACGTCCTTTCATCATGATACTCATCCTTAATATGGTGTATGTATTGCAGAAATCTCTTCCCAGGCTGCAGCCTGTCTTTTCACTTCCTCCCTGTGTCTTCTATGAACAGGGTTCTTTTTATCAAGCTTTCATAGTCCATGCTTTCTGTATCCCATCCAGAAAATCTTCAACCCCAAGATCCAAAAGACGTTAACCTAGATTTCCTACCAAGAGTTGAAAGTGACTTTCTAAAGTCCGTAATCAATCAGGTGTTGGTTTCTTGATATGGTTATGGAGGCGATGTCTGATTTCATCTTTTTCCATTTACATGACCATTTTTTCCATCCTGTTGATTAGACAATCCCTCTTTTACTCACTGATCTGACAGACCACTTCTGCATATATGAAACATAAGTGGGAATACATTCTGTTTCATTGGTAAGTGTTTCTAGCCCCTCACCAACACCATGCAGCCTTAATTACTGTAGCCTCAAAGTAAGCCCTAAAATCTGGACAGGCAGGCAAGTCCCTCTCCTCTTTTTCTTCAGAAGTGTGCTACCTGTTCTTGCTTTTGTATTCCTCCATATCAACTTTAAATTATCTAATCAAGTTCAACAAAGTACTCTCTTGGGATTTTGACTAGAATTGTACTGAATCTATAGATCAATTCAGGGAAGAATGCATTTCCACAATATTGTATATCCCTACCCATCAGCTCAGCCTTTCTCTCCTTTATTTGATGTAATTGAATATTTCTAAATAAAGTTCATAATTTCTCATTTAGAGAGATTATCCATCCTTTGCTTTATTTATTTCTAGATACTTGGCATTCTGGTATAATTTTAATTTCTCTTTGGTAATGCATTCTCATTGTTTTGCTGCTGGTGAGCAGAAATGCAGGTTCATTTTTATACTAGTCTTAAATACACCCACTTTGTTAGAGTGTACCTACTACTTGTCTGCCCTTCTGTTACTTCTAATAAAGTTGTCTGTAGATCATTTGGGATTTTTAAATACTATCATCTGAAAAAGAGCAACTTTACTTATTGCTTTCCAATCCTCATGTATCTGGTTTTTTTTTTCTTTTATTACCTGGTTAGGGCCCTGATAAAAAATGGTAGTAGTTGGAATCTTTAGCTCATTTCTCATATGAAATGAGTACTTCTGGTGTTTCCTCACTTCGGATGATGTTAATTTTAGGTTTTCTTTAATGTTTCTCTTTGTGAGTTAATCATGTTCCCTTATATTCATAATTTATAAAGAGTTTTCACCATGAATAGGTACATAACTATCGTAAGCTTCTTCCGCATCTGTTGAGATCATTATATGATTACCTTGCTAATGTATTAATGAATTACAGGTAGAGATTTTTAAAATTTTGAACAATCCTTGCATACCTAATATAAAGCAAAATTGGTTGGATTTTTTCAGACACTGTGAATTTTATTTATAATATTTTGTTTGGGATTATTACACTTATATTCATGAGTGACATGCGTCTGCTGTATTCTTTTCCTACAGTATTTTTTTCTTGTTTTTATATCAGGGCAGTGCTGGCTTAAATATTAGTTGGCTACTATTCCTTCTTCCATAATGTCTAAGAAAAGTCTGCATAATATTAGAATATGCTATTTCTCACCTGTATAAACATCAGGCCTGTTATTTACTTTGCGTGTTTGCTCTAACTGCTTCCAGTTTTTAGACGGTGTTAAGGTTGTACATGCTTCTTATTTCTTCTTAGGTCAGTTCTGGTGGGTTGTATTTTTCTAAGAGTTTGTCCCATTTTGTTTAAGTTTTCAGAAATTTTTGAAGTGATGCTTTCTCATTTTACAATGGGTATTAATTATAGGTATATTGTTTAAAATGTTTTCTTCTGATTTCTACATTGCCCATGGTTTTTTCTGAGTTTATTTTTGTTTGTTTCGATTTCTGCCCATCAGCAATTAATGTAAAATGCTAAATGCTATAAGTGAACTCCACGGTTGGGGCTTGGTGACATACATTGTTTCCTCTGAGAGACCTTCCCTGACCACCCAATTAAAAAGTACACACCCAACATACCTATCATTTTCTCTCCTCTTACCCTGCTTGTCCTCTTACCCTAATTTGCTTTTCTTTGTGGTCCTTGTCACTACCTGATATTGTACTATATATAGTTTTTCTTTTTTTGATTCACTCTTTGTCTGGTACTCCAAGAGAGTCCATATTTTGTTCTTCACCATAACTATTGACTGAATAACGCCTAATAAGGGGATGCCTGGGTGGCTCAGTCGGTTAAGCAACTGACTCTTGATTTCGGCGCAGGTCATGATTTCAGGGTCCTGGATTCGTGCCCTGTGTCAGGCTCCATGCTTAGTGGGGAGTCTGCTTGCGGATTCTCTCTCTCCCTCTCCCCACTTCCCCTGCTCACGTGTGCTCTCTTGCTCTCACAAATAAATAAATAAATCTTTAAAATAATAAAAATATTTAGTGCCTAATACATCGTCACTAAATATTTGCTGAATTAAAGAATGGTGAACTTCCCCTTAGAATGGTCAGATAAAAATGCAACTATTTCATTAGGGTGCCTCCAAATAAAAGTATGTAAATCTCTTTTCTTTGGATTCTAAGTTGCCACAGACGACTCTCCACCCTCATCCTGAGGAGTTTTAAGCCTGGCTGCCAGGATTTTAAGACTCTAGAGGGGAAATGGTTGAAGGTTCAACATGTAGAATGTTGTTTATTCCTTTGATGTCAGAAAAG